AGTCCCTCTATTGTGGTCGTCAACCCGAGCCCTTCCCATTCCACCTGTTTTTCTTTTTGCCTAAGCAACCATTAAACCCTGAACCCTAAATCCTCGTCCTTCTTAACTGCACCCCGATATACCATTCCCATCCAAGGATCGCCTTCCTCATTGCTCCGGGACTCTGTGCTTTGACCCTTTTACTTCCCTTGTTCGCCTGCGTTGCCAGCTTGCATCCTGATCCCCACCGCTGTACATCAAGAGTAGTGTCCCGAAAGCAGAACTGTCTCCGTTAGAAACTGAAACGAGGGTTCCACTCCCTGATACCGCGCTTTGCTGTTCCAGATTTCTTCTTGAAACGGAGTTGTGCCACTCCTTCCTCCAGAAAGGATCATTCCTCAACTCAGCAACCCTCCCCCCTGCCAACCATGTCTTGATGAACTTGTCTCTAGCCTTCTTCCGCTGCTCTTCGTCGTCTGTCCCTGTATTCTTGATCTTCTTCCATCTGTATAGAATTCTGCCTGTATCAGAACCTTTGTCTCCACCCAGACTCTCTCCCGTGCGCTTGCAGCCTCCTCAATCGTTCTGCTGCATCTTTCCTTCCATATGACCCAAGGGAGGTCTTTCTGGTGAACTCAAACCAGATCCTTTCTGTTTTCCGTGGCCACTTAGGGATGCCAATCAAAAGGAGAAGTTAATTTTCCTCTCTTTCCTTTAGCCCTACCCCATTTCTGTTCCCTGATATCCTCATCCCTCCTCTCTCCATTTGAAGCGAAGCTGTACGCCTCTGGGCTCTGCTACTTTCCCCTGACCCAAAGTATTCTGTTTAAATTTTTTGATTATTTCCTCCTCTTGACCAGGTTGTTGTCTTGCTTGCTGTCTCACCCTTTTCCACTGCGCGTTGAGATGTGTTTCCACTGTATCGAGGAGCAGCTCTCTAGCTTCCTCCCTATGAATTAGTGTTCCTTCCATAGTGGCCTGACATCTCCTCTTCCAAATGGTCCACAATCCATATTGTCTCAGCAGTTGAAAGATGTGCCTCTGGTAGGGTTGCCATCCTTTGGGAACCCGAACCCCCAAAAGCATGGTAATCCTTGACTCTGGGAAAGCTATCGTCACTACCTGTTTCCAAATACCCCTAACTTGTTCCCACATTTCTTCTGCCTCCTTACATTCCAGCAGATAATGCACCAATGTTTCCGGAAGCCCTTCTTGGCACACTCTGCAAAGCTCCGCTTCCTCGTTTCTCTGGTTGTGATTTCTTCTTTCGTTGAGCGACACATTCACTGGTAGTGCCACGTGCGCTATTAGCCATTGCATACTTCTAACCTGACCCAGTCTAATAGATAGGATGCTAGACCACGGTATATCAGGCATTAGGCTCCTGGGGACCCTTACTTTCTTCTCCCAGCGTTTGGTCAGAGAGTGTCCCATGGACCTGGATCTGTTCCTCAGTCTATACCCCGTTTTTGTGGTATATTGGAGAATGTTGATTCTTCTTGCTACTCTTGATTGCCCATCTCTAATGTTCCAGGCCCATTCTCCAGGGCCGACCTCTAGATCCTCGATTGGTACTGTTGAACTGTATACTGTATACTCATCCATCTCTATCACTCTTACCTTCTTGAGAATATACAGTGGTGCTTTGGAAGACTTGTCCAGTTGGGAAGTGGTGTTGCTCGGCTGTATTATGTCGTATTTATCAGCTACTAGCCATTCATTCCTATCTTTGTCTGTGTCCCACACCCTGAAGACCTGTTTAGGTTCCGGATCATCTTCCCATGTGGCCCAATCTCCCTCTCGCCATTGCTTTCCCTCTCTCAGCAAGAGTACCCAGGTTGGGTGTATGGAGTCTGTGACTATTCTCAGGTTGTCATGAAGGTTGTGGCACCCCTTCAATGCTCTCCTCAGCTCCCCTGCTGTTTTCCACCGGTTGTTCTCATCATCCCAAATATGTTTGATCTGCCATATTCCGTGTTCCACCCATCTGCCCCATCTCGAATCCTTGCTAGTTAGTGTTAGAGGTTTTCCGTCGTCGTCCCTAATGCTAATATTGCAGAATATCGGTTGTCTTAATACCTCCTCCCTTGTAGTAGGTTCTCTGACCCTTGCTGGGAAGACCTTCTTCCACAGCTGTATTAGTTGTAGCCAATAAGAAGGGTTTCTAGCCCTCCCACCTTGTGCATCCCTGTTCTCTTTCCTGTAACCCACTTTAGCCCAGTTGCTACACATGATCCAGAACAGTCCCGTCATGTTGCTAGGTGTTTTGTAGTTGGCTATCTGCCTGATCCTTTCCAATACTAATGAGGTCCATGATAACCTGGGTTGTGAGATTAGCTTGACCACCCATTTTGTTTGCAAGGCCTTCAACTGTAGACTTGGGTCTAAGATGCCTAGGCCCCCTTGACCCTTGGCTCTGGTTACCGTTTTCCATGCCACCTTGGTTATGAAATGTTCCGTGTTGTGCTTCGCTGTCCACAAAAAGGCTGCTGCCTTTCTCCTAAGCTGGGTGGACGTGGCCTTGGGGGGAGACCAAATTGATCCCGCGTACCACATCATGGAAAGGATTGATGCGTTCAAGATTAGTTCTCTTCCGTATATTGAGGTGTACACTGTCGACCAAGCCCCGAATTTTGCTAACATCTTAGCCATTATGTCTGCCGCCATAGACTAGTGAGTCCCCTCTTCTGTTATTTTGATCCCAAGGTATCGGAGTGGTTGTTGTGGTGACATCCATTAAAGCCCCTCCAGGCTAGTGACCGGTATCTGGTTCTCCTGGTCTAGCTCTGCCATCCACCAGCCCACTGTTTTGTGCCAATTGATTTCCATTTCTGAAGCCAGCTGGAAGGCTTCCATAGCTCTTGTTAGCGCTTGGAAGGAGGAGTCCGTTGCCCTGATTAAGACTGTCAAATCATCCGCGAAAAATATCGTCGTGGGGATTACCACCTTGTGTCCTTGCTGGTCTGGTGGTGCTGTTAGTCTTTCTATTGATGGGTCCTTTCTCAGGAAGGAGGCTATTGCCTCCATTATGAAGAGAAAGATAGGAGCAGCTAAGGGGTCCCCTTGCCTAACCGACCTTGACATCAGGTAGGTCGAGGAAAAGTGACCATTTATCTGTACTTGTCCTTGAGCATTGTTGTATAAGACCCTGATCCACTTCCTAAAGTTCGGCCCTACCCCCATCCTTTCCATGCACAGCTGCAGGAAAGGCCAACTGACCTGATCGTGAGCCTTTTCAAAGTCGAAAAAAAGAATGGCGGCATTGATTCTCTTGTCCCTTATGTACCGGACCGATTCTGTTAGGCACATGACATTGTCAAGGATAAACCTACCCGGTATGAATCTTGTTTGATCCAGATGGAAGCAACCCGCCGTGATCTTGGATAAGCGATTAGCTAGCGCCTTGGCTACTATTTTGTGAGTGAGAGTCAACAAAGTTATTGCAACTTATTGGTCTATAATTTCGTATGTCCGTTGGACTCTCTTTTTTGTAAAGCAGCGTGACTATCCCTGTTGCGGGCTCGCTTCCCATACCCTCTTCCTGCCATGCTTGTTCGAGAAAGGAAACGTATTCCTCGCCCGAAATTGGCCAAAATTCTAGCCAGAATTCTCTAGTCAGGTCGTCCTTCACCGGGGTTTTATTCGGGGTCATCGTTTTTAGTGCCTCCCATAACTCCTCCTGTGTTAAGGGTTCGTCCAGCATGGCCGCGTGCTTTCGTGAAATTGTGTTYTGAAGATAATTCAGAAACTTTGATCTCGCCTCCTCAACTCTAGGCTTGGAGAACTGGTCTTCCACTGATGTATATAGTTTACTATAGAAGTCGAAAGCCACCCTTAACAACCCTTCCTTGTCGGAAGTGGGCCCCCCTTCCCCTTCTATGCTCTCTATGAGATTGTTCCTGCCCCTAGTCTTGATTTTTTGGAAGAAGAATTTGGTCATTCTCTCCCCTACCTCCCATTCTTTGATTCTAGCTCTCATTCTTAAGCCTTTCATTTTCCAGCATTGCCATTCCACCATCTCACCTCTTGCCGTCTCTAATACTCTTTCATATATTTCGTCCCCCGGTCGAAGAATAGTATTGCGCTTTGCTATCTCTATTGCTCGCGTCAGTTCTTCCTCTCTTCCTTCCTCTTTGTCGCGAGCCTCCTAGCCACTATAGCAGAAGCCTTAGACAATGATGTTAGCAGTTCTGGAAACGAGTGTGTGTCCGGGTTGTGTTCTTGACACACTTGTAAGACCCCCTGTCTCATTTCCTTAGTTTTTAGGAGGGAGTTATTGATTTTGTAAAACCCCTTACCCCTGCTGATTTGTGTGTCTGATGTCAAACTCAAAAGGATAGGTTTGTGGTCCAAACCCACATTGTACGGTAGGCTACCTATGATTACTGAATGCAACATGCCCGTTATGCCTGGTGATGTTAAGAAATAGTCTATCCTAGAAGCCGACACGTGTTGGCTACGGTTTCTCTTACGGTAGGTGAATCGTCTTTCATCCGGGAAGAGTAACCTATAAGGGTCTAACAGTTCTAAATTCGTTATTAGCCCATGAATCGGTAGAGACTCTTCTGTCCAACCCTCCTCCTCTGATCTAAGGCCCCCTGAAATTCTGTTTAGGCTAGGATCTAAGGTGGCATTCCAGTCTCCTGCTAAGATCAGGTGCCTATTCCCATCCAGGAGTTCCTTGAGCCTTTCGATCATAACTAATCTTTGTTGATAACCGTTTGGACAGTAAACCGACAGTAGCGTGTAGGGTTCCTCATGCAGCTCAAAGTCAATCTTGACCCATCTTCCCTCCTCCTCATCCACCCTTGTTTCTGTGATGATAATCTAGTCTGCCGCTTTCGCTCTTTTGTTCTGTAGTATAACCACTCCCATGGAATGGTTGTTTGCTGTTGGGGCCCACCATGCTGCTTTAATTCTTTGCAGTTTCTTCTCTATCTGGAACTTCGTTTTCTGGTGTCCTACAAAATCTTGTAGGTGTGTTTCCTGCAAACACAAGAAATCAGGTGGAGACAAAGAGAACCATTCTGAGTAATTTACTACATTTTGCCACTTGTCTCCATTCTCTAAAATCCCGACTAGCCCATTCACATTCCATGACGCTATTTTGAGTTCCGGTAGACCCGTACCCCCCTCGTTCCTTCTTCTCTGCTTTCTTGGTCTTTCTAACTCTCCTCTCGGCATTGGGTCTCCTCGTTAGAATGAGGACTCCTCATCTATCTTTCCATTTTCAAGTATCTTGTGCGGTGAGATCTAAGACTGTTGCTACCTCACTTACCCTCTTCTCGAAGAATTCTGACTTCCAAGCGAAAGCCTCCATTTTCACGGCGACCGTTGTGCACCTCGCCACCCATTCCGCGCCTAATTGCCCCCCCAGCAACCCATAGGGGATGGTCTCCACCACCTGCCACGGCATCCACATCAAGCCCTCCCTGAGCTCGGAATCAGCCCCCATTTGAAGTAGCAGCGGTCCAAAATCGGTTGTTGTCTCTTCCTCGCTATCCTCCCCTATTGCCATCGGCTCCTCTTCTCCCTCTCTCAATAAAAACGCTCGAGCTGGCACCTCTCCCCCTATTAATCTCTGAAGATCCGGGCCTGAGTATTGTTCGATCGGGGCCGTTAACAACTGTAAGGATTGGTTGATTGCCACCTCCCAGTCCGAGTGTCTTGCATTCCATCTACAGGGTAAGACCACTCTCCTCCTTGTCTCATTCTTGATTTCCAGACAGGCCGCAGCTTCTATCTCCTTCCACTGACCTTTTGCTATTTTTTGCACGTTCACTGTGTCGTCCTCCAACTCTCTGTTCTCATCCTTGAGTAGGTTTACCTGCACCACCAAAATCGCAGCTTGCCTTCTCAAGTCCTGCACCTCCTCCTCTTCTCTCTCTCTCTTCCCCTGATCCACCTCCATTGCTGCACCATCCATTGAATCATTCCCACCACTGGCTGTACTGCCTTGCTCCTCTGCCATTTGTGCTTTTCGTTTCTTACTGTCCCTCTTCCTTTCCTTGTTGTGGTAGGTCTTTGGCCATTGAAATAACCTCCCATACTCCTCCTGCTGTATGTGGATCTCGTTCCTTACTGTACAACTCTTTCTTGCGTATTGGGATTCGTAGAACTCATTGATTTCTCCTTCTCTCCTTAGCAGTTCAAACCTGTTTTCTGATGTGATATCTTCCCCTGCTTGTGTGGCTTGTTGGAGGTTCCTCAAGTGCTTGTGGTGGGCCAGTCTGATTTCACACTCGATCGTCCTGCCCCATTCCAGCTGCTCTACCTCTTTTATCCACCAGTCCATTGTCCAATCTTCCACATCTGAGTCTTCCTGATCTTCCTCCTCCTCTTCTTCTTCTTCCCCCAATGAGGCTTCGCTTTCTTCGTCTGCTGAACTCTCCCTCTGGTCCTCTTCTGCCTGCAAAATTTGTTGCACTGTGATGTTTTCGACATTTTGCATACCCCTCCTTCTCACCCTTTCTCTTACCCTTTCTTCGTCCTCCAATGTTTAATGATCCTGGGCGCCTTGGGATCCGCATTTGTCTTCCTCATACTGTGAGGATCCTTCTGGGTGGTCATTGTCTGCCAAGTCCTCCTCTCTCTCTCCTGCTATGCCTGCCCCTTCTTCACCTGCCCTGCTTCCCTTTGAGGTCGCATCCCGTGAGCTTGAGTCTGGTTCACTCTCCTTCCCTGAGCTCCCTGTTGATTCCCCCTCTTCCTTCTCTGTAGTGTCCCCCCTTCCGGATTGGGTCTTTTGTCTCCTTTTCCCCTGCTGTGAATCTCTTTCTTGAGTGTTAGACCCAATCTCTCCTCTTGCCTCTCCTTTCCTCTTTGTGGAAGTACTTCCTCTCTCTGTTCCTGCCTTCCCTCCTTGCTCGCAGTCCATATTGTCTCCCTCACTCTCCTCCATTTCTCTCGACCTCTCCTCCTTGCCTCTTGTCTGGCCCTGCTGCTGTGCTCTGGCTTCTGCATTCTTCCCGACCTCGTGCAGTTCACTCATGAGCTTCAATCTTTGGTCCACATCCTGCATTACTTCTTCCTCCAACATGGGTCTGATAAGGAATCTAGTTTCCTTGTCCTCCATGCGTTTGGCTCCTTTGTGCCTCCACCTGCTGTCATAAGGAGGATAAATGTCTGGCTTAACTGTTGGCTCCCCTTTCATCACCCACACCCACTTTGGGTTTTCCAGATTGTCATCGAAGATCCAACCCCTATACTGTGCTGCATTTATGTACCATACTCCAGGTTTACTCTCACACTCCTGCATCATCGATTGCTTCAATGCCATCCTTTTCCCCCCAGCTTCTCCTAAGCTCCCCTGTGGGCATGAAGAACCCAGATGGCCTCTGCCTCTGCATTTGAAGCAGAAAGGATTGGTCTTCGATGAGATGAACACTGTGACTCTCTGCCCACTTTTCTTGAAAATCCACTGGTCCGGGAATTTTGGCGGTGCCCCTGACGTTACTTCCAAGCATGCCACTCTTGCGTCGTGATTCGGTGCCAGGAAGTCCGGGTTGGCCGGGAGCCATTCGATGATTGGGTTGTTAGGATACTCTGCTTTCAGCCTGCTTTGAACAAAACTGTGCATCCCCTCCGACAGATTATCGAACTGAACCCAGAAGTCATTTCTCAGCATGGATTGTCTGTGTCTTGAAGCCTCCGCCTGTGGTGGCCTTGGCGGTTTCCAGGGTTGGATTGTAACCACTGACCCCTTGCATTTCAGCGATCCAATCGATATTATGTAATGTGCGTAAGTTGGATCGACGCAGACGATCATGACTGCGAACCTTCCCCTCCTGTGGTATGATACCTCTGGTTCCTTCCCTGGGACGTCTTCCATGGCTATTAGCCTATCCATCACCCATCTTCTCTTTTCGTTCAGAGATAGCTCCCTACTTCGTCCTGAAAAGTTGAACAGCACCGCATGCTTCTCATACAGATCATTCAGGGACTGGATGTCCTCCTCTGGGTATTCCCAAACATCCACTTCCTCCTCCTTTCCTCCCTCCCCCTTGATTACTTCCTTTGTCACTTTGATCTCCGCCTTGATCTAAGTTTTCTCCAGCAGGAATTCCATTGCCTTTTGCCCCAAAGTTCGTGACTTTGCAGAGTCCATCTTTGAGTTCGTACCTGACTGCGATGGCATCTGCCCTGAATGGCTCATTGACGCCCCCCCTTGTCCTTTCGCAAATCCCGCTTCTCCTTCTCACTCATTGCCCTTTGAGCTGCCTGGGAATACGAAATCGCCATTTCTGGAAATGACTTCCTGGGACAAGGATAATACAGATTAACGAACTGCTGTCTTCAAGTTTGAAACGTGATGGAAGATCTAGGCGGTGGATGGATCGGTGTGGAGAGCGGTGGGGTCAAGGTAGGGAACTGTGTTGGAATCGTACGAAGCTGAAGTCCGAAAGGAATGGATATTCAGACAAAGTTGCTGTTGGGATTAAAAGCACATAGCTTCATGCAAACTTTGGCAGCATTTTGACTCCCCACTTGGGGATCGGCTTTTGGTCAAATCAATCGGCCAGGCACTGGAGTAAGGTAAAGTTCAGATGTCGCTAAAAGGAGACTAATTACCGGGCCAAACAGAGCGCCTTGTGATCCAGGCTAGATGGGTGACAGTCAAATGGAATTGCCGTTTGAGATTAAAAGATCATAGTTTTTTGCGAAGATTTGACAGCATTTTGCCTCCCCACTTGGGGATCGGATTTTAGACAAAACAATCGGCCAGGCACTAGATCGAGGTAAAGAACAGATTTCGCTGAAAGGAGAAAGTTACCGAGGCAGACAAAGCGCATTGCCTTCCAGACGAAACGGATGAGAGTCCAGTGGAGTTGGGATTGGGTTAGAATCAAAGTGGGATAGAAAATTAGATCAGGAGATGTGGTTGCTGTGGGATCGAATCAGTGTAGGGCGGAAAAGGGTTGCTGATGTGGAGGGATCGGAGTGGATAAAGAATCCGTAGTGAGATGGGATCGGATCAAGGGTGGAGTTGGGTTGGAAATTGTATCGCGCTCGTGAGGTATTGGGGACTGAGTGAGAGAATGGAGTGGGGGCGGGGTCATGATGGGATCGGATCAGAAAGAGGGACGGGGGGGCGCTGGGGACGGGGTTGGGGTGGAGGATGGAATCGCGACGAGATCGGACTGGAGTTGGGGTAGTTAGACCAAGATCGGGGTCGCGATCGGAGAAGAAGGGATGTAGGAGGTGGATGAGGTTGGGATAGTGTCGGAGAAGGCTTGGCGCCGAGTTGTAAGGGTTGTAAGGGTGGAAGCGGGGCGAGGTCGGGGTGGGAAAAGGGGGGGGAGTGGT